TTTTTACCATTATGTCAAAATCGTTGTGATTTTCTTAAGGGGGCCAATACATTACACATAATTGAATTATTTGTTGAGTGCACCAAGTATACCTTCCTTCTGTGTCATATGTACCAGAGTCACTCCCATGCTTGGCTCTCTGGATGTTTTTAATTTCTATTGGGAAGAGTAGAGAAGGGAATTTTCCCTGCAGCATACAAAAAAAAATATTTCATTCTATAGTTACCTACATTGTAAACATAAAAACTTTCCACAAGTCTATGCATCAAATCATCATTTCAAGTGGAAAAAAACTATAAGTCTTACGAAGTTTAATTCATCGCAAAACATCAACAATTTGTTTAAACACGTTGAAAATTTTTACACTTTCGTGTTTCTTACTAATCGTTGAATGTTATTTTTGTAGATTATTTGGCCATATGAACTTTCAAATTGCCTTCTTTGAGAACTAATTATGATGCTAATAGCTCTCAATTTTAGGTTTTCTTTTCTTTTATAACTATTTTGATTGATTATTTATTGGGATTAACTTTTTAATTAAATTTTTTTTAAGTTATAAACTGTCTTCAATTATGGGTCTATCGCTAGTAGGAGTGCAACTTGAGTTGGGAACCAGATTTCAACCCGAGCCCAACCCGAAAAACATTAGGGCTTGGGCAAGGGTTTTTAATACTTGGGTTGGTGGGTTGGGCTTGGGTCAAGAAACTCCAATCCGAATTCAATTTGAGTTGGGCTCGGGTTAAGGTCTCGTGAATCTGAGTTCAACCCGAAACCGGCAAATTAAAAAAAAATTAGTATTAGCACTGATTTTTTTATTTTGTTCTATCATTCTCTGTCTCTCTCGTTTTCTTTGTCTCTCTCGTTCATTTAACTTCTCCATTTAAAAACTTAGTTGAAATTATTGGTTGTTAATTTAGGTGAATATTATGTAATATATGTATTAGGTTTAGAGTAACAAGCCTATTTTGAGCTCTACTCAAATTAAACTCGTAAAATAATCCGAAATCATCAACTCGAGCCTGCCCGAATTAAACTCGGGCAGTGTTTCGGATTGAGTTCCCAACCCGAGTGAGGTTAGGGTCAGAGTTAAGGTAAAAATTATATATTAGAGTTGAGTTAGAGTTAATTGTCCAACACGCCAGACCCACCCGAATTGCACCCCTAATCTCTTAGCTCAAATATATATATATTGAGAGAGAGAGAGAGAGAGAGAGAGAGATTACAGGTCTAGTTTTGCCACTGAGAAAAAGGTGGACGAAAATGGCGAGAGCGGTAGACCTAAGAATGCCAAATCCAATTGCACGACCACCTGATTAACCCAAAACAAAACAAACAATAAATAAAAACACCCAATTAGAAACGTCATCAAAATTTTCATGATATATATAGAGTTCATTTCAACCGAAAAAACAAAAAAAAAAAAAAACAGAAAAAAAAACTTTTAAGGGAGAGAAAAACCTTGATAGGTTTCCCAAGGATAAAGAATTCCGTCTTTGTTCTGATCAAAGAACATAACATGCTTTTGGAGGGCGGTTGGTTCAGTATCTACTCCTGCATGCAAATTTTTCCATACGCATATCAAATAACTTTTCAAGAACTGTATGCATCACATTCTCCACATATAAACCACAAAATTCTGAGAAGGACTAATTACACTTTGGAGCACCCTAACTATGTACTCGTTTTTAGTTTGTCTGTATTGAATTTTTCATATTTCTCTCTTAACCACTTGAATTGATCTCGTATTACTAAGAACCTAAGTGTCCATTTTCTTTTTGAACATAAATTATTAACTTGTCAAGACAAAATAGAGCAAAATTTCATAGTTTGAGGGCAAAATGAAATAACGTTTTAGTAAATTTGTAACAAGTGTTAATCATTAGGCGATGTAAAACCAATAAAATAGTTGAAAGTGTAATTTGAGAAATATGATACTCGAGGTGGTCAAAGTGTATTTTGACCCACTGAGAAAGAAAACTCACATACCCACACATTCAGTGCTGTTTGAAGATGAACCCATGGCCATGCCCTTTGTTCTAATTCCCAAATGGGTATAGAGAGAGAGATGTGGGTCCTATAGAGGAACCTGGTGGGCGGGGGGGGGGGGGGGGGGGGGGGGGTTGGGTTGCTAAGAAAGGTAGGAAGGGATTTGAAAAGATGGAAAAGTTGAAACTGCTTTACAGCTTTTGTGTATTTTGGATTCACAATGGTGTGTTCTTATAGTGTTTCTGATGTGTTTATTATGCGATGTTCTGGTGTAGTGCCCAAACATGATTGAAATGCTTTTTTTTTAATTCTATTTTGGGTTTCCTTAGAGTAACACAATTGACAGCTTGCCATTCCTGTATAGAGTCCTCAGAATAACTGCGTCTTTCCCTCCAAAATGAAGTCACAGAATAGTGACTTCACATGGGGTCCAAGAAGGTTTTCCAGACGTAATTCCATCCTTGGTATTAAAAAATTAATTATATTCAAAATATAGTTAATATAAAAAAAAAAATTTAACATGATTTAGTCAATTCATTCACTATTGTGTTCTTTTAAAAAAAAAGTTATGTCGACGAGACGAGAGATCAAGTAGTCAAATGCTGTGCTTGTATTGGTTTGCCATAAATTTATCAATAAATATAGACTAGATAAGATATACACATGGGTGGCATAATATGTTTTGAGGCTTAAAGCGATAAATTTAATTGAAATTTTTTTTAATAATAATGTTAATTATTTAATATAATTTTTTTTAGATGCATATTAATTGTTTAGTATTCGTATTGAAGTTTTTCTAATATATATATTTTTTTTATTGATATTATAACTAATTTTCTTAATTTTTAAATTAAATAAAAAATTCTAAAACTTCCAAATTCATAGATTATTTGACAGATTATATTGTTTCGTCATTGATACTCTTATAATATTATTTTTCTATGAATTAGACATTACTCACAAAATATATGTTTGATTTAAGTTTTTTAAGATTACGATAAAAAAATTAATATTACATTGACCTTATTTAGTGACTTTATTTGACAACTTTATAATTTTTTGTCATTAGATTGACAATGAATCCTATTATTAGTTGGGACTCGCTATTAATTCCACAGCTATGATCCATCATGTCACCAGATAAAATCGTAAAAAAAAATATTATTATTTTTTTTTCCTTTATTACCACGTGAATCCTAGAAAATTAAGTTTCAATCAGCTAATTTGATGTTGAATTTGAGGTTTTTTTTCTTCTAGAATTATCAAAACTAGTTACATAAAATATTTAGCTTAGAGTATCCTGTGCAATCTTGTAAGTGTGTAATTGCATTGAACCAAAGTTCATCGCGGAAGCAACCACAGCTGACAACCAAAAGTTGTATTCAATATACGAAAACTTCTCTACACGAAACAGGGATGGCAGAGTTTAAAAATCATTTATTTTTAAACGAATCCATCACAAGTTTAAAACGTTGAATCTAAGTAGATCTTTTTGTATCTCAATGCTGACATTACGAAACAAAAATGCTTAAAAAGCGTCAATAACACGCTAATAGTCTACTATTCTAAAAGACTAAATAGCATTTAAAAAAAGGTACAATCTAAATTTCTATTGGAAAAATTTCAACCACACCCCCTCTAATGTGAATCTTCAATGACACCCCCTGTCAGATTAAAAATATTAAGTAGAATACAATTTTACTAAATTGACTATGATATATTTGAGAACAAACTTCATCCACACCCTCTCTAGATAAGCATATCTTTAATGAGATCCCCTCTAGATAAGTATTTTTTCAATGAGACCTCCTCTGTTTTCTAATTTTTTTTTCGTAATTAAATTCGAAAACCAATTAAAATTTATTTTTTTTACATATTAAAATTTGTGCCAATTAAAAATTATATTTTTTTATGTATTAAAATTTGAGCTAATTAAAATTTTGTTTGAGCCAATTAAAAATTATTATTAATCGACTCAAATCAAATTTTAATCAATTCGCATTGAATTTTAATCAACCCAAATTTTAATATATAAAAATATTTGAATTTTAATTGACTTAAATTTTAATAAATCGAATCTTAATTGACACGAATTTTAATAAGTAAGAAATATAAATTTTAATCGACTCCAAAGAGAATTTTAATCGGCACTAATAACTAGGGTAAAATTCAAATAGACTCAAATTTTAATATGTAAAAAATAAATTTTAATAGGTTCGAATTTTTTTTAAAAATTTACGAGTTAGTAAATAACAAATTAGTATTACTAAAATTGTTTACAATTTTTTTTTTAAATTTTAACAACTCGAATTTTAATAAAATTTTATGTAGAAAAATTACTTGAGGTTATGTAGGGGTATTTTTGGTATTTTAGATGAATTATTTTTGTTAAAAATGGTAGTTTAATGATAGGGAGTGTTAGTCATGTTTAAATTAAACTAGAAGAGGTGTCATTGAAAATTTAGAAACTAAAGGGGCGTGATGGAAATTTTCCCATTTCTATTTAATATTCGTGATTTTTGTGTCTTGGGTGTCTATTTACATGATTGTGCTGCGTGTATCAAGCAAACGTAAGAATTTGAAAATCGAGCGTCAATGTCCAAACACCACACCACACCACCACCTAAGAGGAGGTTCATGCACTGTTGTTTCTTCTAAAAAAGGATAGTCTTAGGGGTCAAGTGAAGTGTATTTTGGAATTTGTTTCATTTTTGTGTCATTCCTAAGTTATTGCTAAGCTGGCTCCTTATAAACAACAAAGTTTTCAACATGTTACCTTTCTTTCTACATAATATTTTGTTTCATTTTTTTTTTGACAACTCAATGCCTTGCCATGGCTCTCACAGATAAATATATTTTTAATCACCTGAACAGTCACGATTAAGGAAACTCAACTCACGCGCTGGTTCAAGCAGATCAAGTCTAGCACTCCCACAATTCAAAATACGCCAAACAATAACTAAAAGAATTATAACTTACAATATATAACCGAAAAATTGAAAATTGGGTCCAATTTATTCAAAAACATTGAAAGTAAACAATAAACATAAACCAGCAATCCATCCCAAGATTGAGGATGATCTGGCTAATAAGGTCTCATTGTCAAATACAAGCATATACATTGAACAACTAAGCAGGGAATGGAGTTGTCATATGCTAACATCTATACACAGTATCATGTTCAACGCTCCTCAAAAATTACAGAATACAACACCTCAGTACGAACCCCTTCTGATCCATCCTCCCCTCTTCATTGCCTGAGAAAAAAATTGAGCATTCTACTATGAGTGACTTCATACTCATTAATAACAAATCAAAGAAATAGCAACCAATACATTAACTCTATTGAGAAAAACTCAGGTGTGCTCCACCATCCCAACATCGCGACATTTGTGTCTGTTGGATATAGATAGTCTAGGTTTATTAGGATTTCTTTTCCCTTTTTTACCCTTACTAAGATTTTTATATTTTGCCTAAACTACAAGGATGTTAAGTCACTCTGTATTATTTTTGGATATATATACGGGGCTCTACTCTTAATTTGAGTATCCCTTTTTACACACATTCATTCCAAGTTGGTATCAGAGCCACAACTGTAACCCTAACCCTAGCCCCTCCTCCACGTTGCAGCTGACAGCCACCGGCCACCACACTGCCACCGTGACTGCTCCAAATTAGCCACTGCAGCGACCCACCTACCAGCGAAAAACCCCTTTAGCCTACATATTAAACCACCGACTGCCTCCAACACATCACATCCTCACCGACTGCCTCCATATCACCAACCACCAACTGATTGTTTCAATAACCACACCGACAGACCAACCAATATAGCTCAATAAACATACTGATAAACACGACATACTGCCCAATAACCACACCGACTGCCTCCATATCACCAACCACCGATTGACTGCCTCAATAACCACACCGATAGACCAGCCAATATAGCCCACACATCAAACCAGTCCACTGATAAACCCATACCAACCAATATAGTCCCAAACTAGACCAGCCCAGTAACCTAACCCACTGCCCAATAAACACGACGCCCAACCACCTAGCCTACTGTTGGGTCACTGCTCAGCCCACTGCCGGGTCGTGTTTCTCGTTTTAACTTCATCCTTTGCACTCTTCGTCATAGTGCTACTAGGTTGCAGTATCTAGGATCCTTTTTTTTTATGAGGGGTTAAATCTTCTTCTCCGTCTGTTGATCTGCTCTTGATGCAGTAGATCATTTATATTTATTGGATTTCTGGGCACCGTGACTTGATTATTTGGGAGCTTTTTAGACCTTCCTTATTTGTCGCTACTGTTCGACTG